TCGACCAGGTGATACAACTTTTATCTATGGTTATTGGTTATTTACTCAGTTTAATAGCCATTTATTTATTATTTTAAATATCCGCATAATATTTACATAATAAACACACATATGAAATGATAATTCAGAAGAAGATTTTTGATACATAAATGCGTCAAGCGCAATCTAGGCGGATTTGCCCATTCTCCTTTGGCATGCAGGTAGATGTTATAACGTAGGCATCCGCTAAGAAAGGATTTTGACCAATTCTACTCCCAAGGGGATAAAATACCGAAGCGAAGCGAGGGCGGGCCACTAGTTAAATATAAACTTGTAACAGCTATGTCTTGTCTGTCAATCAGCGAGCCGTCAAAATATCCAATTGTGCGATTAAAAGCAGGAAAAATAAAATACTGTACCCCTAGCACGAACCAATATCGAATCCGTATCGTTTGCGAGTCCAAAATGTCATTGTCAAATGTGTACTGATTTTTAGTTCTCGTTACGTACTTTGTGCCGCTGCTGTTCAAGTTTCCATACAAAATTTGACATTGACATTTCGGTTTGCAAACTATTCGAATTCGATAATGGTTCATTCCCCTACGTGGAATGGCTGATCACTTGACATTGGCGGAGCTGTCAAGTCACAACGCAAGCCATCATGAAAGAAGAAAAAGAAGAATGGTTCGTGCTAGGGGTACTGTTCTTGGTACGTCAGTCAACTGGAGGATTTATAGCAGGAGCGCCCAAGCGGGGATGTTGAGATTTACAAAAAAAATGGGTGCGTGTACTTATGTAGGCGCGTGAGAAGTTATCCTTCTTTGGCATCGTTTAAAATTAGTTTTTAATTGCATGCAAATAATTAATTACAATAAATTAATAAAAAGTCTGGAAAAGGACACAGTCAATAAAGTTCAGTTTTAATTTGAAAAAATAAATAAATAATCAAAATATTCAATTAAAATCGCTACTGAATATAATTTATTAGAACATATGTGATTTGCACTTGTATGAAACTCAAACACGTATTCCGAATATACAAACTAGAAACATGTGGATAAATATTATAAATATGAATACCTATAACTGTTACTTTATTACAAAAAATAAAGATGTGGTTTTTGGTTCTACTACACCAATGGTCAAGAGATGGCGCTGTAGTCTCCTGAATCGCGCTTTGGTTCCGTTGTTCCAGATTAATAAATACTTTTGATAGGCCTTCACAATGCAGTCGTTAGCACCCACTAAATAGAGATTCTATTTCTATTTTGTTGGTAGATTTTCTTAATGTGCGGTAAACACAAAAGTAAGTAGTTAAAATTTTGTGTTAAAAAATTCAGTGTGCGCATCTTAAAATTTCACTCTCATCATTTTTTCATAACGCGCCTAAAGAAGTATAACTTCAAAAAGCACGGCATGTCATAAGGAGCTCTTATTTTGACGCGCTTTTAAGTCATGGCTGATTGTTGTTTTTTCTTTGCTACCTTAGACGTCCGATCCTACTGTATAAAGGGCTCGGGTATGGCGGGAGTACTCCACAAGGTGCAAGGTTGCTTCCCCTTTTATGTATCTGCTACATTGAAATCTTTTTTCGTTCCCCCAGTAGGCCCTCATTTTCAGGCTCAAAAGACGCGGAATTTGATGGGCTTTAAGAAGATGTAAAATTTAATTTGGAAAAAATCAATCACTTTTTTGTAAATAAAGAAAAAGAACGATAAATCGTGTGTTTTTACAGAAATTTTCCGATAAGTCGAGAACGGCACCGAATTTCAAAAATATGAAAAAAAAGCACCTCAGTATTGAACCAAGGAACATTTTAGGTCATTACACTTTTTTCGATATTGGTGACGGTTGAGGTTGTAGAGGTGCCTTTAGCCGCGAGTTTTGCGCGGTCGGTGATGGGAAATAAAAAAAAATACGCGTGGCACTCGGGGACTGCCGCGGTAAAGCTATTGCATATTATTTATCATCTTATGCTTTTTTTTCTTTGATAGTAATTTAAGTTTTTCTTTGATATTAATAGATGGCGAGGCAGGTCTTATGATATTTTATTGGACAAGCACAGCAAAAAACAGCATTGCCCGGCGCCAAAATACTTCCACAAGCTCCACAGTTTACCATCATTAGTCCAAAAATTTAAATTATAATTATTAAGTCTAAATAAAAGGGAGACAGTTAAAAATAAGAACAGGTGCTGGGGTCTAAAACAAATATATATAAAAAAGGGGGGAAAATATAATAAAAAATACGAGTGCGGGATTTGAACCGACGACCGCGGTGATGCGTGGAACGTTGGTCCCGTGGCAAAAATTTAACACACTGCGCCACAGCGCCGTTTCGATCAATACGAGAAAGGCGAAAATTGTGTTCATATGCACTGTTGTCAGGTTATTTTCGTTAGGGAATTTCTTGATTCGGTCACCGCGCTCAAAGCCCGCGATAAAATCTATGCAATAGCTTAAAAATATTACAAACGTGATTTTTATTTTTTTTTGTTTAATCTATAATAGGTAGATTCATTTTCAATGCCCTTTCAAGTCGTGTAGAGCACGAGATCTGTAATTTTTTGCTTTACTATTACTCACCTACAGATAGGGTTTCCAGGTTGATTAACCTAATAGCCGGGCAGACCAGCTGGTTCGACCAGGATTTGGGTAAAATGGCCGGACACCATAAATTATTGAAGATTTTGTGGCTCAGTAATATTAGGAACGACAAAAAAACTTATGTAAAAGTCAGACAGTGAAGTCGCTTGTAGCCGGACAAGCCGGACATCGTTTATTGGAGTTTACTCCTTAAGAATCGATTTGCGTATAAAAGACGCCCGGTATGAGAAAAATGTGAGGAGTAAAATCTATCGATGAATGACCGTTTTTGGTGCGCATCCTATGTCCCGCAACTTTGACAAACAAAAATGACGGATTGACATTAATAAAATTTTTAAAATCTGAACTGAATTTAGATATTGTTTCTGATAGAGCAATGGGGACAACGAGGTATGGTACAACCATTAAAGCGGTATTTTCAAGATTCGTGAACCACGTATCTACGAACGTCCATGTGTCTTATTTTAGTTACCATAAACCACTTGTCACTGTAATTAATAATGCAGATAATGTTGGTTTAATTAATATTTAAAAAAAATATAATAGTCTGATAATAATAATTACATAATATATCAACATTCCTAATGATATATTTATGCACATCTGAAATTGACTATTGTAAAAAGTTTAATGTAAAATATTTCGTCGAATAGTTATAATAAATGTATATGAAATGAATAAATATATATTTATATATGTATATTATTTTCATTAATTTGTTAATTTGCCCTTTCATATAGTATCAATCTTTTTTAAGTTAAATAAACTCTTTTTGCATCTGGTTAGACTATCGAACTTAAGGAGTAAACTCCAGTCGTGCGTCGGAGCTGACACACACAATTTTTTTTTTGACCGGATACGCAATCGAAAAGCCTAACTATGTCCGGCTTTATCGGGACGCCTGGCAACGCTACCTACAGACTGTCTCATTTCAAATGGTCTGCTGTAAGGAAGCGGTTATAGTAACTCTAGCGCTGAACAAAACGCGTCAGGGATAACTGCGCATGCGTACGACTGGAGAGCCAATCGGCGCAACGCACGCCCACCCGCGCACCTCGTTCCCCCCCAACACATCTTCATTTTTACTTCTGCGCAATAACGGTCAGCGCTAGAGTTTCGTGTCGCGACTTATACTTTTAGTTTTATTTTTATTTTTTTTATTTGGACAACCAACAAGAACATACTCCACACCTTACATGCTAAAAATACATATCTTTTCTTAAATAATTTGGTGTTGTCTTAACAACAGGCTGTCACGGAAAGCAAAAAATGTGTAATCTGATTAGGAGCATAAGGCATCCTTTACAAAAATATTTTGATTTTATAAAATAACAAAAAGCAAACAAAAGTCGTTAATATAATTAAACAAAGAATGCAGGTGATAGGTATATACATTTTTAAGATAAAATACCAAACAACAACGAAAGATAGATGAGTTATTAAGTGTTAAGCTGTATTTTTTTTAATGAAGGGAACAATGGTGTCGATTCTGGCGTGATTCTCTAAACTTAAATAGTTATTTATTATACAAGAGTGGAAAGTTCCTTTTTAACCGCGTGCTCGATTTGGATGACCGAGCAAGCGAAGGATTCTAAAGTTGAATCACGAGCGCAGCGAGTGATTCTAAATTAGAATCCTGAGCGTCAGCGAGGGAAACAAACGAGCACAAGGTGAAAAATCTTTCCACTCGAGTGCAATACGTAACTTTTCATCCCACCTCAGCGAGGAAATGACAAAATGAAAAAGAAAACAATTTATAATGACAAAATATTTAAGCAATAAAACGTGAAAAACTAGAATGGCGCGAAGCACGCAAATAAAACAAAGAAACCAAGAAGGTTCCAAATTTAAATTTTTTCACAATTTAAAAAGTTCTAATCATATAAATTTGGCACCATAGAGGTTACATTAAATAGGTTTAATGACGTTTTGAATTTACAATTATATTGAGTACTCATTATATGTGATGTTCTAAATTCAAATCTACTTTGCCGCTCAAGCGAATAAAATAGAATTTTCCAGCCAGATTTCGAAGCGCAAAATTACACTTTCCGAGGTGGTGGGATGAAAACTAAATTTAACATCAGTCTCTCCTTTTCATTCTGTATAGAGAATGACAAGGATACACTGATGTCTTCAAATTTAAGTTTAGATTTAGAGAATCATGCCAGAATCGATACCTCAGACTAAATTAATCGATTACAATATTTTTGCTTACTGAAATGTATTGAGTAGTTGTCCTCTAGGCAGAGAAAACTTACACACCTATTCTGTTCCCGATTTATGTATTTTACACGACAATTGATTCGAACCTTCGAAATCGAAATCGACTTATACTTTCCTGAACGGACTAGCCAATACTTACGGGGAAATACATGAACTATGTTCAATTCCTTTCTCAAAATAAAGTAATACCTGTCAGAGATCTGACCCTGGAGCAGTAGCCCGAGCATGTTGCCGAAGCTGTGCGCCGTGCCCACCAGCGTGGCCTTCCAGTCTTCACACGCGAGACCGAACTGAAATCAACAACCACTAATTAAGTCTTCATTTGCGTTTGATCTTATGCAGGTACTAGCGGCCCGCCCTCGCTTCGCTTCGGTGTAGAGCTGAAGTGTAGACTACAATTTTTGTTCTCAGGCTTGTATTATACACAATGACATTCATCTATGATTCTTCTTATACCTGCATGCAAAGTCTCAGCCCGATCGGTTTAAAATTGACAAAGTTTCATACAAATTTTCATTCCCTATTTTATCCCCTTGGGGGTAGAATTGATCAAAATCCTTTCTTCATAACATCTACCTGCATGCCAAATTTCAGCCCGATCCGTCCAGTGGTTTGGGCTGTGCGTTGATAGATCACTATGTCAGTCAGTCACCTTTGAGTTTTATATATATAGATTAAACACGTATCATAGCTAAATAAGCTTTATAATTTTACTAGTTTCAGGTGTTAAAAAAACGGTGTTATATAAATCTAAAGAAATATTTTTCTAGTAAAATTTTTATTATTGTAAATTATATAAAATGAACTAAATATCTATACTGAAATATAATCAAAATATCTTCATCGTCATTCTAGGCTAATTGGTGCGAGTGTTAAAAATATTTATTTTCAAAAAAAAATATTTCCTGAATGTTTATTTTAACGCATAGCACCCATAAGGGTGCCCGCTTACGTCAGACTTTTTGTATTGTAGAACCAATAATCTAATAATTGCAATTAGTACTTACGTTCTATTTTCCTCCTTCAAATACCCTAATACTTTTCAAATGTGCTCAGAAATGCTACCTTTAATTTTGATTTGTGACGGGCAACTACAAAATCTCCACTTTGGACGTTATACGATAATAAAATCCGGCCAACCAAGTACAAAGTCGAGGTTTCACCAACAAACAATAAAAAAAAATACGAAATTAAAACATGTCTGTGAGCAAATCCACATGATAAAAGCCATAAGCTCTAATCGAAGCATTAACAAAATGCTGGGTTATAGCGCGCGTGAATGAAGTCTTCCAGTAAGCCGGAAATCGTAAAATATACATATTTGTTTAAACTCTCACGATTAAAATCAAAATTATCTTTGAAGCATATCTCGACAGTAAGATTAAAAAAGTGTGCCTAAACATTATCTTATGTAAGTAAATAAAACTTAAATTAAAATCAGATAAGCTTGAAATCACAATATTACCAAAAATAAACAGTTAAAAAGATCAAGGTTACTTTAACGCATCACGGAAGAATCAACATGTCTCTTTATGTCATGTCTTTAGTTTAAAATTATTGTTTTTCGTAACTAAAAGAAGCAATTCCGGAGTTTACACAAGTAACGTGTGATAGGAATCTTATCGCAAAATGTTTTTCATCCAAAGACGTGTAATTTGTGTTCAAACAGGTAATTAAGTGGTTGTGGTTGTTAAAAAATCTCAGACGTTTTTTTCATATCTATTTCACGTATGTCTATAAATATTTCAAAAGCTCTCAAGATATCTTTCACTGGCGAAAGTTCAAAAAGCGTTTTTCCTCAGTCATGTAAAGGATTTTGACGCTGTTTTTCTTATCAGCTATAAAATTTTCGCGTTAGGGATGGTAACGCCCGAATAACTCTGGTATTCGAAACCTGAGAAGCGAACGAATTATGAGGAGCTCGATGGCGCAGGTGGTTAGCGCGTTCGGCTGCGATCGTTGAAGTTAAGCAACTTTCGCAGTGGTCGGTCATTGGATGGGTGACCAAAAATCTTTTATCTCGAGTTCCTCCATGCTTCGGAAGGCACGTTAAGCCGTGTTGGTCCCGGCTGCATCTGCAGTCGTTAGCACCCGCTAATCGTGGTGGGTCATGGCTCAATCTCCCTATTCCATCCATAGAGAAGACCTGTGCCCCAGCAGTGGGGACATTACTAGGCTGATGATGATGATTCGAAACCTGTGCAATGGAAAAGGCTAACAAGAATTATCAATTGCACACTATTTTCAAACCATTTTGGTATAATATCTATATTCATGCAACAAAATGAATTCATCCGAAATTATATTATGAGTCATATTAATGTTATAATATATATCGCGATTGGAGTTGTCGACCGGAGGCGTGGGACCGGTTCTTTAACGCACTTAACGACTGGCAGATATTCAAAGCTGATAACTAACCAGGTTAGCTAAATATTCATAGCATCGAAAGTAAAAGTTTACGAATTCTGTCTGATGACGTCCGTAAAATGCAAGGTATAACAAGTTGTCGGCCCGTCTGGGGAAATAACCTCCAACTTACAGGAGACCGCAGTAATATAACACTATATTTTTTTTTATAGATAGATCCGACAAATGACTCCACCCCACCTGATGTTAAGTGAAGGTGAAGTCCAGACGCGAAGATAGCTGATACAGCAGTTCTAACTGCCACACCAGCCATCCTCACCCTGCCGGCCTGCATGTTGCTTCTTCACGCCTCTTTTAAAGGATCCCAGGTTGTAAGAGGGAGGGAACACGTGAGCGGGCAGAGCATTCCATTTACGGATAGTACGACAAAGAAATGAATCACCAAATTTCTTTGTACGCGTTGGAATTGTAGCCTTAATATTTGTTTCTTAGGTTTTCACGCACATCATTCATTAAATAAAACTAGTTTTAAGGGGTTAATGCAAGAACTTTATTTATTTATTGACGTTTCGCAGCCTTTTCAGGTCTGCATCGTCAGAATGATCAGAAGGCTGCGAAACGTCAATAAATAAATAAAGTTCGTGCATAAACCCGTTAGAACTAGTTTTATTTAATATAACACTATCTTTTGCTGGTGTTGTGTTTCAGCAGATATGTAAGGTATACAAAAGCTCTACGGGGTAAGGGATGGGGTTAGGGTAGGCAGCGCACGAGTGATATATATTTCCACCACCTAATGGTAAGCGTCCATTATGACCAGTGCACCACGCTTCTGGTATTACAAATGTATGATATATGCACCTAGAGCCGAGGTCCGAATCTCAGAGATTGAACCGACCCCCTCCCCCCCCCGCCCCCGTGGGGAGATGCCATCCGCCTGGAGGCACTCGTCAATTCTCGGCTTGAGGTCTCCTTAGGACAGTGTTTCCTAACCTTTCCAATACTGCTACCCCTGTAACCTATTAGGAAAACAGATTTTACCCCGACTTTAAAACGTTATCATCAGCCAAAGAAATTCCAATTTGGCCGCTACATCTTCGTCTCTAATAATGTCATCATCAGGTGATAATCTCGCCCCGCTTCCCACACTCAGCACCCCGCGGGCTCGCTAGCAAGAAGGAGCGCATGCTCTATTTAGTAGTATTATTATATAGTATTTCCTTATTATTTAGATTTCATCAAATAATTAGGTTCTTTGTTACCCCCGAAGTATGGCTGATTTACCCCCGGAGGGGTAATTACCCCTAGGTTCGGAACCCAGGCCTTAGAATCTCGCCGTCCCTAAACCCGGTGACGCTGTAAAAGGCAGCTGCGACAACAGCATACACAATAAAAAAAACCAGAGCACGCTTCTGGTATTGTACGATATATAATGTATGTTTATGGTGGACCATATGCTTGAAGAAAAAGCTCATCTATTCAGATTTTTCTTGCATCTTGCATTGGTCTTCCTGAATAACTATCCTTAATTTTAGAGAAGATACTAGAGAACTATCAATGGAATACATGCTTCTTCGTTCTATTGCATTGTTGTGCTTCTGCAGCGACTCGTTCCTAGGATTTACGATGGTGCAGATATATACGACGCAGCGTGGGGCGGCCCCCAACAAGGTAGACTGACGACATCGTCAAATATGCTGGGAGCCGCTGGATGCGGAAAGCGCAGGACCGCGCATTGTGGCGTTCTATGGGGGAGGCCTATGTCCAGCAGTGGACGGAGAAAGGCTGATGGATGGATGGATGGAGATATAAGCGCGTTCAGTCTGCGTTCTTGAAAATTTGACCCGACTGCTTCTTCAGTCGTTAGAACCTGGTGGGTTCTAAGCCTGTACCCCAGCATTAGGGAAATTTTTAGGCTAATGATGATGAATAAACTGTAGTTTGATCCACACAAATAACGAAGATGCTAAATAGTAAAGATCTAGGTTACTATAATAATGATCCTTCATACTGCGTAGGATTGCATCGGGTTTGCGCATGCGCACGTGGATAAAAACCCACGGGTGACGGGTGCGGCGCTATTGTGCCTTACTGTGCCTCGACAAATTGCCCGACAGCACCGCGCCACCGCGCATTCATACCGAACCGGTATATGTGCGTTGCTGCACGGAATATTAGGTACTTACATATTGGGAAAATAGCAGACTTAAATCAAATAAAAAATAAAGGCCTTGATTTCATTTGATCTGTAATACAAATGAATGGAATTTGTCATTTTCATGCGCATTTTCCAGAACAATTAGTATTGTAGGAAGGCCAAAGGGGAAGATCTTCCTCCAAGCTGGGTGATATTAGCTCGGGGGCCGCGGCCCGACTGATGTTGGTCGCGCATCGTATTTTTATTTATTTATTTATTTATTTATACTTAATGCACAAGTGTACAAAGGCGGACTTAATGCCATAGGCATTCTCTACCAGTCAACCATAGGGTGTTGTGGATAAATAGTGGTAGGGTGCACAAATTAGATGGAAAAAAAAAGACGAACAGATATAAATACGAAGTAGTCATATACATAATTACACATACATAAATAAGTACTTACATATAAATAAACATACATATATATTCACACATACATACACATATAAACATATATACTAAATAAATACATAATAATGACGACTAACGATTAGGCTAGACTGCTTGTTCTTGTAAAAAGCTTCGTAGCTTGGTTTTGAAGCTGATTTTGTTGGTGGACATTCTGATATCTAGAGGGAGTTCGTTCCACAGAAGTATGGTTTTGACGAAGAAGGATGAGTGAATCGTATCAGAGCGATGAGATGGAACAATAAGTAAGCGATTAGTAGAGGATCGAAGATTTTTAGAATGAGCGGTACATAAGTACTGAAATTGGGAAGTGAGATAGAAAGGGGCATTTGGAGAATCCAGCAAGGAGAACAGAGTGGTCAGAGCCCGCATACTTCTGCGCTGCCTAATAGGCATCCATTTTAGAAGAGATCGGTATGCGGACACATGGTCATATTTTCTAAGATTGAAAACAAATCGAATGCAGTTATTCTGAAGTCGATCAAGTTTATTGAGTAGATCTGCATTCAGATCGAGGTAGCACACATCACCATAGTCGATTATAGGAAAAATCAAAGTTTGCACAAGCATTGCCTTGATGTTGATAGGCAAAAAATTTTTCAAGCGGTAGAGAGCACGCAATGTTCCAGTTACCTTTTGACAGACACTACCTACCTGATCCTGCCATTTGAAATTTGAGTCAACATACAAACCAAGATTTTTTGCAACATTACTAAAAGGTATCAAAGTGCCGTCATAGAATATAGACCCAAGAATGTTTCTGTCAATTCTGCTCATCATTCTTGATCCACCTATTAACATAGCTTGACATTTAGCAGCATTGACAGTGACACCAAAATTGTCCGACCATGTTTTGATAGCCTTTAAGTCACTGTTTATCGCATCAATGGCATTGTTTAAATCATCAATACTTGCTTCGGTGTAGAGTTGTAGGTCATCAGCATATAGATGATACGAACACTGAAGTTTGTGAGTTATAAAATCAATAAAAGTTGAAAAAAGAAGAGGAGAAAGAATACCGCCTTGGGGAACACCAGTTTTCAAATTGAGCCAGGATGAGGATGATTCCCCAGACTGCACCAACTGCTGGCGGTCCCGAAGATAAGATGAAAACCAAGTCAACACTTCGTCAGAGACCATAAGATAGGATAATATGCAAAGGAGAATATCGTGACTGACAGTATTAAAAGCGTTTGAAAAATCGATAAGAACCAAGCAAGTAACTTTACCGTTCTCCATCCCCGCCTTAACATCGCCAGTTACTTTAAGGAGGGCGGAAATAGTGCTATGTCCAGGCCTAAATCCAGATTGGAGAGGGTTCATTAGAGAGTTTTTATGAATAAATTGGGAGAATTGCTTGTGAACGCATGCTTCTAGCACTTTTGACATGAAGGGGAGGATGGAAATTGGTCGAAACTGATTAGGCTGCGTTGGATTATTAACTTTGGGAAGAGGCCGGAGATAGGCTTTACGCCATAGAATAGGGAAAGTACCAGTGTCAAGGGAGAAATTGATAATGTGTGTTATAGCGGGAAGAAGATATTCAAGAATAGTGACGATCATGCGACGGCTAATATCATCACATCCCGTTGCATTGGATTTAATTGAAAGTATTATCTTTTTGATCTCTGCCGGTGTGACTGGTGAAAAATAGAAACGGTCAACATTAGGGCGCGTTAAACCATTTATAGAAGCAACGGTGGATGCTGTAGATGAACGATCCAATTTCTGAGAGGTTGTGAAATGTCGATTGAGATCGTTAAGGTTTATAGAATTAGACAGGTCTAAATGTCGCGATTTGCCGATACCTAGCGTTCCGAGGAACTTCCAGATATCAGCAGAAGATGAAGAAGAAAGGTTGTTGAGAATGTGTCGGCGTTTGGCATTACGTATCATCTGATTACAACGATTTCTAGCAGCCTTGTAAAGCTTCCTCTTTTCATCAGAACGATCCCTTCTGTAGCTGCGATATGTACGGTCCCTACGCCTCATCGCCATCTGAACACCTTCAGTCATCCAAGGGGCTGGTTGCCGCTTCTGGAATATTCTAATACATACACAATGGCTTTTGTGTAGTGACTACGAACTTGGGAATTATTTTAGTGACATGACAGCATACATTAATTAATAAGACTAGAGGCACTGTACAAGCACTCTATATGTCTTTTATCGTTATTTTATTTATCTGTATAATAATAATAATAAATATTTCCAACACTTACACCAATTAGCCTAGCCCCAAAGTAAGCACTGTAAGGCTTGTGTTATGGGATCTAGCATCTAGGTAACGGATAGAATACATAAACTGTACATTTATAAGTATATTTATATAGAAATACATATGAAACATCCATGACTGGAGTTCAAATGCTCGTATTCACCACACAAACATCTGCCCCCACCGGGACTCGAATCCGGGAGCTCTCGAGTCGGCGACACCATGAAACCCGGCGTACAAACCACTCGACCACGGAGGTCGTCAAGGTATCTTTGTTATTTGTCCGTATCTTAAAATGAATAAATAATAAAATAAGTTTCAAAGGTATAGATGCACTTATTTATTTATTTATTGGCGTTTCGCATCCTTTACAGATGCGTCGTCTGCATTATGATTTTATATACTTTGACGAGCTACCTTCGAAAGAATTTTATTGAGCGTTCGGATATTTCATTGCGATTTTCATTCCAGATCTTTTAACAAGGCGCAGAAAATTCCTGCGTTGACTAGAAAAAAATGTCGAAAATAGTTGATGCGGCAGAAAGATCAACTCTTCTACATTAAGTTGAGTGGGTCACCAGTGACATGTTGGTGCCGAACGGGATCACATTCTGATGTCCTGGGCCTTGTGTCTTTACAGCAGATCTGTACCTCAGGAGGTACAAACCTGCTGTCCGTGCTGGTACAAAACACTAATAAAGTTATAATAGAGAGTCATATGCTTTCAAGTGAAGCTCGATGGCGCAGATAATAAGCGCTTTCATTGGACGGATGATCAAAAACCTAATACCTCGATCTCCTTCGTGCTTCGGAAGACCCGTTAAGCAGTTGGTCCCGGCTGCATTTGCAGGCATTAGCGTCCACCAACCCGCACTGGGCCCGCGTGGGCCTATGATCAATCTCCCTATTCCATCCATAGGGAAGGCCTGTGCCCCAGGAGTGCGGACATTATCAGCCTGATGATGATGATGATAAAAGAGTCATGTTTAGTAGTGAAGCTTGTTGGTGTACGTAATAAGCGCTTTCATTGGTGGTTCATTGCCCAATCTCCCTATTCCATCCATAGGGAAGGCCTGTGCCCCAGCAGTGACATTATCTGGCTGATGATGATGATGATAAAAGAGTCATGTTTAGTAGTGAAGCTCATTGGTGTACGTAATAAGCGTTTTCATTGGTGGTTCATGGCCCAATCTCCCTATTCCATTCATAGGGAAGGCCTGTGCCCTAGCAGTGACATTATCTGGCTGATGATGATGATGATAAAAGAGTCATGTTTAGTAGTGAAGCTTGTTGGTGTACGTAATAAGCGCTTTCATTGGTGGTTCATGGCCCAATTTCCCTATTCCATCCATAGGGAAGGCCTGTGCCCCAGCAGTAACATTATCTGGCTGATGATGATGATGATGAAAGAGTCATGTTTAGTAGTGAAGCTCGATAGCGTAGGTAATAAGCGCTTTCATTGGTGGTTCATGGCCCAATTTCCCTATTCCATCCATAGGGAAGGCCTGTGCCCCAGCAGTGACATTATCTGGCTGATGATGATGATAATAAAAGAGTCATGTTTAGTAGTGAAGCTTGTTGGTGTACGTAATAAGCGCTTTCATTGGTGGTTCATTGCCCAATCTCTCTATTCCATCCATAGGGAAGGCCTGTGCCCCAGCAGTGACATTATCTGGCTGATGATGATGATGAAAGAGTCATGTTTAGTAGTGAAGCTCGATAGCGTAGGTAATAAGCGTTTTCATTGGTGGTTCATGGCCCAATCTCCCTATTCCATTCATAGGGAAGGCCTGTGCCCTAGCAGTGACATTATCTGGCTGATGATGATGATAATAAAAGAGTCATGTTTAGTAGTGAAGCTTGTTGGTGTACGTAATAAGCGCTTTCATTTGTGGTTCATTGCCCAATCTCTCTATTCCATCCATAGGGAAGGCCTGTGCCCCAGCAGTGACATTATCTGGCTGATGATGATGATGATGAAAGAGTCATGTTTAGTAGTGAAGTTCGATGGCGTAGGTAACAAGCGCTTTCATTGGTAGTTCATGGCCCAATCTCCCTATTCCATTCATTGGGAAGGCCTGTGCCCTAGCAGTGACATTATCTGGCTGATGATGATGATGATAAAAGAGTCATGTTTAGTACTGAAGCCCGATGGTGTACGTAATAAGCGCTTTCATTGGTGGTTCATGGTCCAATCTCCCTATTCCATTCACAGGGAAGGCCTGTGCCCTAGCAGTGAGGACATTATCAGGCTGATGATGATGATGATAAAAGAGTCATGTTTAGTAGTGAAGCTTGTTGGTGTACGTAATAAGCGCTTTCATTGGTGGTTCATGGCCCAATTTCCCTATTCCATCCATAGGGAAGGCCTGTGCCCCAGCAGTGACATTATCTGGCTGATGATGATGATGATGAAAGAGTCATGTTTAGTAGTGAAGCTCGATAGCGTAGGTAATAAGCGCTTTCATTGGTGGTTCATGGCCCAATCTCCCTATTTCATCCATAGGGAAGGCCTGTGCCCTAGCAGTGACATTATCTGGCTGATGATGATGATGATAAAAGAGTCATGTTTAGTAGTGAAGCTTGTTGGTGTACGTAATAAGCGTTTTCATTGGTGGTTCATGGCCCAATCTCCCTATTTCATCCATAGGGAATCCCTGTGCCCTAGCAGAGGAGACATTAAAAGGCTGGTGATGATGATATGCTTACTTCAGCGACGAAGCTGTGTGGTGTCTCATACACCCATCGACTGCAGGTTTCCACATGGCTGGTGTTGAAGACACCACACTGGGAACTAGTTGCGTATCTTCGGCACTGCTTGGTGCCTTCCTCGGCCTCGTCAGGCGAGGACTGGTTCAGCCATGCCACGGAGAAAGTCGAGTTGGCTCCCTCGCATTCTGAGATCTCGCACCTGAGACCAATAAAGAAGAACAATTAGATTGAACGATAGTAAGAGGAGCTCGATGGCGCAAGTGGTTAGCGCGTTCGGCTGCGATCGTTGAAGTTAAGCAACTTTCGCAGTGGTCGGTCATTGGATGGGTGACCAAAAATTTAATAACATGAGCTCCTCCGTGCTTCGGAAGGCACGTTAAGCCGTTGGTCCCGGCTGCATCTGCAGTCGTTAGCACCCACCAATCCACACTGGGCCCGCGTGGTGGGTCATGGCCCAATCTCCCTATTCCATCCATAGGGAAGGCCTGTGCCCCAGCAGTGGGAACATTAATAGGCTGATGATGATGATGATAGTAAGGGCGCTTAAAGCACAATGGAATTGTGGATTGACTATTTTTATTACTTCAAAAGCGCCTCTTACTAAGTTTTGAGGTTTATTTATTAGTAAAAGAATAAAGAATTTGAGGTGTCCTCAGGTGTTAACGCGGTCATCCTTTTGGCGTTACCTGTGACGTGGCGCCGCAAATTGTAAGCTCGCTCGAGTTACATGCCACCTGCTCATCATCATCATTATCATCATTACCAGCCTATTAATGTCCCCACTGCTGGGGCACAGGCCTTCCCTATGAAAATGAAATGAAGATTTTTGGCCACCCATTCAATGACCGACCACTGCGAAAGTTGCTTAACTTCAACGATCGCAACCGAACGCGCTAACCACCTGCGCCATCGAGCTCCTCAAGCCACCTGCTTATTAATATATTATTGTGTTGTTTGCTTATTACTGTCACCAACAATCTGTATAATTCAGGTATTCTATACAATACCTGTCCTAGGCAATGAATAAAATGCCTTGGGCATCTAGACAATGTATGAAATATTCTTTTCCATTTTATACTTTGCCTAGGTGGCTATACATTATTTTAGACATACTATACATTGCCTAGGATGCCGGATTACCACACCACTTAAATGTCTATTTTCTTTAATAATCAAGCTAAGATCAGGTATTTGAACATTTCTTGAACAAAGAAAGATTAATATTGTATTGAGGTAATACATTTAAAAATATAGGGATTTTGAAATTAAATGAATTTTTAATATTTGTTAAAGCTAAAGCAGAAATACACATTCTGTGAAATTTCCACTAAGTATATAATACTAGAGGTTGCCCGCGACTGCGTCTGCGTTAACTTAGTTTCTTAAAAATCCCTCTGGAACCTAACATTTTTTCGGGATAAAAGTAGCCTATGTGTTAATCTAGGTCAGCTAACTCCATACCAAATTTTATTAAAATCGCTCCAGCCGTTTAGACGTGAAGAAGTAACAAACATACACACTCACAAACTTTCGCGTTTATAATATTAGTATGATTACGATTCTTGAGAAACAGGGCACTTACATACTGACGGATAGACAACGGAGACTTAGTTATAGGAGTCCTTTGTCACCCTGTGGGGACGAAGAGGTGTGGAAATTCAAATATCCAAAATAGGTTTATTTGATAACTGAGACCTTAATGTATCTATTAAAGTAAGGAATCTTTTTGACATAGGTACGTAAGTTCTTTCAAGCTAAGTTTTATGAATAGGTTTTAGGCAACATTTTCTTTATGGGATGATAAGTTGCGAAAGAATACAATAGGGTATTTGACAAGTTTTAGAAAAAAATCTCACGTTATTTACTAATGTTTATAGAGTCCATAAAAATATTCATCATTATGTTGTGTATTTCGGTAAAAAAACCAAATCAAAAACTCTATTTTCAAGTTGCCGCGAATAACGTATCTCTGGACAATATGGCGTCTTACTGGTGTGTGACGTCACACGACTGTCATTAAAACGTCGAACCATACAATCCAATGTCACTTTAGCCGGAAGTTTACTTGCGTGTGACGTCATTTTAGGCTCCACCAATCCCAAGTGTTTTGGGTCACGTGACAATAGTCAAGAAAACTATTAACTTTATCGTGGGTTTTTAGTACAATTATGAATATTTTTTCTGTAAAAATAGTAAAAACTCCTGCCAATATTCATTCTAAATACAGATGCTAACAATTGGCACTTTATTTTGAATACTGTCAAATACCCTATTACCTTAAAAGTGGGACATAGTACCGCTAAAAGTGGGACATTTTCTGTACTACTGTTCTGTAAGGACAAACTCACTATTTCCGCGGAATCCACGACGTGATTTGTGACCACACCAATATTATAAAGGCGAAAGTTTGTTAGTGTGTGAGTGTGTATGTTTGTTACTTCTTCACGTCTAAACGGCTGGAGCGATTTTAATAAAATTTGGTATGGAGTTAGCTGACACCTTGGATTAACACACAGACTACGTTTTACTGCGGGAAAATGTCCCTAATAATTAATCCTTTAATTTTTGCAAATGAACAAAATAAAACTTCACAGATTTCCTGTCAGTCAGGCCGCCGATAACAAATTATTTGTATTTATTTAAGCTTTAAAAACACTTTTTATGAAGAGTTAATCAGAGAAATGGGAAGAAAGATTCTAAAAAATGCGAAATTGATGACTCTGTAAATAATTGGCAACATCTTTTATCAACTGTAGTAAGGTAATGACATAGTAGGAGTTCTCATAATTTTCAAGATTGTGACTATATCAAAAGTTTCTGAGCCTTTTTTCATAGAAATTATAAATATTCAGCCATTTACCATTAAACATTACTAAGTACAGTATATATACATTGCCAGGGCAGCCGCTCATACAAAACTTTACCATGTCCTCAAACAAAAAACAATAGCATTGCAGGTATAGGTATTCCAGTTTGATCCAGTACTATAGTATTCAAAGTACATAATCGTAGATGCGTATGCAGCATGCTTAAAATCTACAGCATGGTCAAACGATTTGCTGAGCAGCCCAGAGCCGGACCGTGAGTTAAGGGGGCCCTGGGCTAATACTATTTAGGGGCCCACCTCAAAGTATAGAAAAAAATGGCTCCTCACATTCTAGGGGTAATATAAATGGGGTTACATTCCACAATGTATTTTTTCTACATTGAATGTACTTCTAATCATTGAATCTACTGCTTTAAATAAAATAATATTAATTTTCTTTCTTTAGTGAATCACTAGTTCAGCTTTAGACATCTTTTTTGAAAATATTATATCTGCTATGGAAATTCAGCGATGTTTGCCTGTCTGAATTTCCGATCTGTTTATTTTAATAAAGTATGGATTCTTTCGCATTATCGTCTATTATTTGGCTTTGACTTGACTAAGCTGGGGGCCCCTTGAATCCACGGGGCCCTGGGCTGAAGCCCAAAAAGCCATATGGTAGATCCGCCTCTGGAGCAGCCATAAGATTCGTTTTGTTTGCCGTTAAATGGATATTATATTCATGCGTAAATGATTTCATTTATTGCAACCTTGCTGGTTAATTGGCTAATTAATCGAACCATATTATTATTATACTAGTTAGAAATAAAGGTTCACTGCTCGTTTCCCGTAGGTGATAGCGTGATAATATGTAGCCTATATGTTGACCCGAGTTGTTATTAATATTCGTGCCAAATTTGAAGTAAATCCATGCAGTACTTTTTGAGTTTATCGCGGACATAAATAGAGACAAAAATTCTAAAAACTATATTTTTGGTTTCGGTATCGATTATAGATCACACCACAAGTATTCTTTAAAAAAAAATCAATGTACAGTTTTGACTTTCCTACCATATTATTATATGTATAGATAGCAACGAAGTTAAGCAACTTTTGCAGTGGTCGGTCATTGGATGGGTGACCAAAAATGTACTATCTCGAGCTCCTCCGTGCTTTTTTTTTAACGCTTATTACTGTTCAAGTCGGTGTGGTTAAAAGTTGTTGATATCCTCTTTTAAATGAAACACACATGTGACACAGAATCTCGCTCTCCCAAATTTGCATTTACAAAAACTGCAAGAAATCTACCTCTAGTGGTTAACAATAAAGAATTCAAATCATAAAAAAAAAACAAAAATCATGCAGTACCCCTAGCACGAACTATTATCGAATTCGAATAGTTTGCAAACCGAAATGTCAATGTCAAATTTTGTATGGAAACTTGAACAGCAGCTTCACAAAGTATGTAACGAGAACTAAAAATCAGTACACATTTGACAATGACATTTCGGACTCGCAAACGATACGAATTCGATATTGGTTCGTGCTAGGGGTATACATCTAATTTGTCATTTGCCACGCCACATTTACAAATGAGAAGTTTCCTCATTTTTCATTGGCTAAAATTGGTACTCAATAATCTCACCTATAGCTGACATCCTCCACAGCGAACACGTAGTTGACATTATACATGGAGTTAGTCGCATACACCAGTGCCAGCATGCACATGGTGATCACCTGGTGCTTCCCGAACGCCCCCAGCTTCTCCAGCACATCATCCAGCTGGACCTTTTTCCCGCCAACAACGCCGGCCATTTTGTTTCGCTCACTCAAAAGAGGTTTCAATCAAACTTTTTAAAAATACAAGTTTAGTCTATACGAAATCCATGTCAGTTCTTTTTTCAAATTGATAATCTTTTTTTTTAATTTGTTACCATTGCCACTGAGAAATAAAATAGGTCTATTATCATGATAAGAAATTGTGTGCTTGGATTATCTAATGGTTGAATAAACGTGCACTCGTGACAGTCGTTAAGTACTAATGAATAAACTAATATTGTAATAACTTTGAAGTTATTTTTATTGATATTTAACGGTACCAGGCGTATTACTGAGCGCTGCCGGCTTGTGGCATTAGATATATGAATTGCCTCAAGCAAATATTTAAATTATATTTTATCTGTTGTTTACTGACGGTTCTTGATGGCGATTCGTTTTCAGCGAGGGTCAGTGGACTTCAACGCAAGAATTTAGAATTACTTCTAACTTATATTATGTTACTATGTATTTGCATTTCATACAGTTAATTCAGTACATTTTTAATATTTATTCACCATTTCCCGTCCAGCGTTCTGAAGTACAACTATTTTTGAATAAAATATATTTCAGAACAATTTGATTATGAACACGCACTAACATATCAAGGATTACTTTTTTATTAACAGACATTTTACTATCATCATTGTTGTTACTATTGAGTACGTTTCAGGGACCTAATTACAGTATGTACTAAATTATCGTGACCGCCACACTTTAATGAAAATCTTAGAACAATAATAAGAAAAAAATGTTAATAATTGGGCTTTTTTATTGTTGTTTGATGCTTAACTAAAATATGGAGTTCCATCTCCTTTATTGTTATCAATCCATTGGCATCTTTGCGGTATATTTTCTTGCTTCTTCAGTTTTCCAGCATAGCTGCAAAGACCTGCACTAGGGCTTTAGGTCACGAGTTTAAGGACTTTTTCGGTGAACAAAAGTAAAGTTGTAAATTAAGTAATATATATTTGTTTCTTAGGTTTTCACGCACATCACTCATTAAATAAAACTAGTTTTTACGGGTTCATGCACGAAACTTTATTTATTTATTGACGTTTCGCAGCCTTTTCAGGTCTGCATCGTCAGAATAATGATTTTTTATTTAAAATTGTCGAGCTACCTTCGAAAGACTTATATTGAGCGTTCGGTTATTTCATTGGAAGATTTTTAAAATTTTATTGTCTATGTATTATTTAATTTACTTAATAAAGTATTTTATTTAAAATTCTTGTTTGTAATTTTGAGTTTATTTATTTGACCCTAACTACCGTAAACTACCACCGGTTCCAAAATTGGGAGACCTTCCTGAGAAGAACCGTGACCGTGTTCCGAAATGTCAATAAATAAATAAAGTTTCGTGCATGAACCCGTAAAAACTAGTTTTATTTAAGTAATATAGTTATTTTTTTCCACACTCGTACAGATTCGATTTTGATCTTTGGAGCAATTTCCTTAAGCTGAATCCAGAAATCATTTTTGAGTGGAATCGTTTTATGAGCCGACCGTTATAACCCATCTACGTGAATTTTCGTCATCTTATGAGCATCCAAAAAATCTAAAAATCTCTGAAAGTGTTAAAAAATATTTACATTTTAATATATTATGAATTTTTATTTTATATATTTGTTTAATGGCAAATAATTAATATAAATTCTTGTACGGAGGCAATGGGCCATTTAATACTGTGTGAGGTTTAAGTCCAGAGGTCGCCACTATTAAATTGGCATTCCGCTGTTGACGATCTTACGACCGCGTCTCGATGATAGTTTACAGTACTATGACTTTTTAGCATTACTTACACGTGGACAAGGTGTTTTGTTTAGAAAATAAGTATATTATAAGCCTTACCACAAGAAGTGTGTCAGGCGTTAACACTTACTTAAGAAAATGACCTACAAAAGGACAATGTTAAAATTGGCCTAAGAACCAACACCAATTTGGCATTTATGATAATTCTTAGTATATTTTTTGCGATAATTATCAGTATTTAGATTGTGACGGACACTTCCAGTTAAGTAAGCTAAATTAAAAAGTTAATAAATAATCTGAGACAATAAATACCATTTTAAGTGTATAATCTATGACAGCCATGCAAACAAAAAACACTTTCTTCCTAATGCCGGCACTTCACTTGGCTATTCGTATTTGCTATTTAAAAACATGACATGTCTGTCCTTTTCATTCCTTATTAAGCATGACAAGGACAAACTGTTCTCAAGTGAAGGGCCAGCATAAACTCGATACTCTGTGGTTGTGGTGCAGGCAGTTTGCATTCGTAGTAATCTGTGGCATTCGTGCAATCTCGTCAAAGAGTAGGTACTTTTATATACGGAAAATTCTCGTTCGGATTACCTGTTGTGTGTGTTTATTTGCGATTGTTTTGCCTTTAATTTAACTATTTCGGCTATCTAATATGCCATCGATGTTACCAAAGTGCAGAGATCTTATTACCAAGTGCTAGTGAACCTGTGCCACAACATCCTGAGAGGATCATACTGCCAAATTATTCAAGAGCACCTGATACACATTCACGCTGCATATTTACACAATATACATGTGTTAAACAAATAAATACAATATGATACAATTATGTGAAAAATAGTCAATAAATAATAAGAAGCAAAACTATTGTTTACTACCAAGTTTTTCTAATAGGTATTCTTTAAAATCGCACCGAATAAAATGAATTAGTTGTAATATTAATTCACTTCATACTAAGTTCATAGTATGTACTTTTATTTAATGACCTTTAATTTAATGACCTATGTTTCATTAAAAATTAAACATAACCTCAAAAATATTTTAGTTTTCCTAATAATTTAAGTTCTCAGAAGTGTCCGTCAATAATCTATGTTTTTACAGTCATTTACTTGCGATTTCGAACCTAGAAAATAATATTTCATGATTGTTGGTTCTTAGGCTAACTATGTATGGACGCAGAACAATGTCCTTTGGATGAACATATTTTTGATGAAAACATTATTAAAATGAGTGTTTAACTTTTAAAAGCTGAACTCTATTTGTCTTGATATATTTTTTAAGCATTTAACTGCTCGGTGTTTAAATCTAAAGCAAATATTACTAGGAAAAACAGAGAAGAAAATATTACTGGTCCGCGTGGATTTTTTTCTAGTAATCTCTATTCGTCTTAATAAATGTTTTTACCAATAAAAGTTGTTAAAAGTTATATGGGTTCCTCCCGAAGAGTGAGGTACTATACAGATTATAAATCGTTAGTTCGCAATTACTGGATGAAATTATTGTAACAGAAATCCAGCGAAATCTTAGCTCCACGAGTCCGACCCGCGCTATATTAGACTTTTGTATGGAAGGGAAAATAATATCTCGGTTGTGACCAATGAAAGAATTGACGTTTTGTTTACGCTAAATTTAAAATCAATTTTGAAAGACGGTTCATTCTCCCACCTCCCAACTGTGCAACTCTCCCACCTGTGCAGTTCTCCCACCTGTGCAATTCTCCCGGTTTTTGAAGTAAAAACTTCTTTAGCGGCGTTGTACACTTTTTTTTTGTATAGGTAAAAAATGTTAAACTCGCGTCAGGTTAAACACGTGGGCTGATCGCATCATGACACACAATAAAATTGGAAAGGTTGTTGACTTTCAATATATTGGACGAAACATAGTAATATTTTATTTTATCGTATTATAATAATAAGCTTCTATCTAGGACGTCCACGTGGCAGCTTTATTGCGAAGAAAATGCATTTTTTTTACAATAGATGTCGCTAGGTGCGCTTAAATGTGATTCATGTAAGTTGATTTCTTTACAATAGATGTCACTAAATGCGCTTAAACGTGATTCATGTAAGTTGATTTTTCTGAGAGATAAACTTTTTTAATGTAATATAAATTGTCATGTTTGTGTACGATAGCGCAATAAATAAATATTGTATTCTACCACATACATGATAGTACTTTTATATTGATAATTAAAGCAATTCGTGCAAAACTATTCCCTAACCATTCCAAAATATTAAAAATGCACAACGTTTATATTCAAGTTTTCACTTCTGCCGGCACTCCCGGAGTGCAACCCGTCGTTTATTTTTCCTAACATAACTTTCCTCTGCAAAGATGTCCTAGTATGTAGGTAACAAAGGTTATCACGTTTGATTCGCAACGTGAAGGTCGCGTACCGGTCACTTTGTGCCGGCGAGACGGCAAACATTATGTTTCAATATTTATTTTATAGGACAAGGAACTGTTTAATAAACTCCAAATATGTATTTTTATAACTCAAAATTATAATTTTCTTATCAAATCACCTTATGCATTTGGTATGGAAGAGTTCCAGGGAAGGACATATTAGGATTGATTTTATCGCAAAATTTATCTTTTAAGAGGGTGAAGTTTGGTTTGTTTGGGAAACAAATTAAAACACGAAGTTGAAGATCAGCGCGCCTACAAGCAATTTAATAAAAACAATATCACGGTTATAAACTTACAACAAGTACAAATGCATTCTAAAAGATAATAAAAATTTTGGAGAACCCGAGAGAAAGTAAATTAATTATAAGTGCAGTGAAAAGAGTAGTCTTTTGGATTAGAAATTTGTGTACGATCGGTCGAAAACCAGGGCTTGCCTTATTTTAGCGGAATTACCATTTTTTTGATATTCTAACTTCATGTATTTCTATCGGTCCTAGCTCGTAATCTTCCTTAGATATTAAAAACTCATCAGTTTTGAAAATTTAAACATACCAATATTAAACATAATAGAGTTGCAACTATAAATAAATAAATAAAATAAATATTTCCGACACTCACACCAATTAGCCTAGCCCCAAAGTAAGCACTATAAGGCTTGTGTTATGGGATGTTAGGGTAACGGATAGAATACATACACTGTACATATATAAGTATATTTATTTAAATACATATTAAACATCCATGACTGGAGTACAAATGCTCGTATTCATCACACAAACATCTGCCCCCACCGGGATTCGAACCCGGGACCTCTCGAGTCGGCGACAGCCATGAAACCCGGCGTACAAACCACTCGGCCACGGAGGTCGTCGACATTAATTGATTGAACTCATATTATATTAGTCCGTCACATTGATGCACTGTTATCGCCATACTATCTCATCACAGATAGTTTAGTTCATTTTGTTTTGAAAATTGTTTCTTGCTATTTTGGGACTTTTCTTTGCACTTATTGTTGGTAAATTCGTTGATTGTCTATTGTTACATATTTTACATTATGTGATGGAAGTTGACCTCAACACATGTTTGCAAGTTTGATGTCAACTTTCAATTGGACGACACCGTATGAAATAAAACAGGGAGA